TTTTGGCAAAACATTTACCACTAGTTTGCCAATTGGTGTCTGTGTTCCCAATATCTGTAAACCACAAGATATAGAGTTTGCAATCAATAAAAGTAAGTATCTTATTATACAGAATAGTACTATTGCAATACTTTNCTTGACAAGAGTCCATATAGATTCTGGGGCTGGCAATTCATAAAAGTGGGGAATTCCCCAAATGATTCTAGGTGCTATGGCTAGAAATATTCCTATTATAATTAATATTATATTCCATAAGAGTCCAAACTTTGGATAACGGTATAGAACTAAAAATGCTATAGGTGCCATCAAATAGAGCTGAAAGTCAGTTGAGGTATACCTAACAATTCAATTAGTTTTATAATGTCAAATGTTAATTAGCAATTAATTTGAATAAAGTTAGTTGATAAAACACAAACCAATTTCCAGAATTGCACTGTTTTGAAAAGTTAAAATGTTATATTAATAGTGTGTTATAAACACAATTGACTTTTCAAAACCTACAACAAATCTCTCGGGGAATGTGATATCAATATTACTGGTCATTAGTAGGACTGACAGCCAGTTATCACGACAGGGAATGTATAGAATATTAGACACAATATTCCAATTGGGACCTAAAATTGACAAATTGAAAAATTAATCTTTTTTAATGAATTATAAATATGAATTGCGTGTACCATCTCCAATTAGTGGATAAATATAAATCATAAGGACTGCTCCCATTGTGGGCGGAATGAGACGCAGGTATCTGTCAAATATAAATCACTAAAATTAATTTGAGGACACATTTAGGATACTCTCACCTGAATATAGCATATTGTAAATAATTGAAACGTCCCCTCGATTTATGCAGTTTAGACAGCACTAAATAACATGTCATCATTCCTATGAATTTAAATACAATACATTGTAAGGATAAATGTAAGCAATTATTGATATGATATTGACCTCCAATGAAGAAGAAAGTGTCGATTATATTAACATTTTTCATAAAAATGTATTTCACAGACGTGTGAATGCCTTTAGTAACTGAGTATGGATTTGACTTTGAATAAATAGGCAGCCAGTCCACATAGTGTTCGTGGCATAAAAGCACCCAAAATGATAATATTGTCCGCAAACCATCTAATATGACAAACTTATTATTTTGTCGGTACGGCTCATAAATAGTCTTAAAGTTTGCGATTGCATTGAATGATTGGCCCAATTGTGTGATCACTGAACGCTCGTTTGATTTTATATTGAATATACGTTTAAAAAGTTCATATAATGTTGATATGATTACCAATACAGATAGAAACCCTAATATTGCCCTGATAAATATTTCATAAAATTAGATATCTATACTCCAATGAATTCTTATCGCTTACAATGAAGTCTTCTGATAGGTATTGAGTTTAAGAGGTTTCTCCTTATAATCACATTCACCACTCAATACAATTGGCAGTTGTGTTATTGGAAACAATTCTAGTGATCAAAATATATAATTATATTAGAAATATCATATTAAATTAAAGTTAATAGATCTGTAATAATGTCTTTTTGTCCAAAATAATTTACATAAAAATCTAATCTATAATGGTTCATATCAGTGTATTTCTTACACAGTCGGTTTTATACGTTACTAACCTTTGTACTCTAGTTAAACTTGTTTTCACACTCGACACATCTTTACTGATGTTTAAAATTTTACAAGTTTAACTAGAGTACAAAGGTTAGTAACGTATAAAACCGACTGTGTAAGAAATACACTGGTTCATATTCATATTAGTCATTTTCTAAGGAAAAATCATTGTTGACAATATAAGACAATTTTGACATAAGAGTTCCCATGAAATTCAGTGCAATATGAGTCTGCTTTAATAGATTAAATCTTATTTTATAGTGAATCAGTTGTGGAAAGTCCTCAACAATTTACATAACAAATCATAACATATGAATAACTAAAAATTAAACTTTTCACACGCTTTGTAAAAAATGAATTCAAAAACAAACCCTTATTGAGTGCAAACTCAACATCCTTTGGATCGCATGTATTGGGAATACAGATACCAATCGGTAATTTAGCCCCAGATTTTTGACCGTAAGTATTGATTGAAAGGAAATCACTCATGATTTGACGCCCAATCTGAAGGGATTTCAGTCTTGAGGTCTCGTTTTTATCAGATTTCATATATTCGTTATGAGCTTTCAATATTTGTTTATTGTAAGAGTTGACATCAATTTCATGGCTCAGTTTGTCATAAGAATGGTTATCGCTGATTATATTAGGCATCCCTACCCAGCAGTACTGGCCTTTAATTACAGGCAAATACATGTCATGATCTGAGCTTTCAATTGCTAGACATTCATCGTATCCCAGGGATGGCAAAGTGTTTGAACCGGATTTTGGAAATGCAATAGTCTGTGCAACTGAATTAGTACAATAAATTAAATTTGAATACAGTATGACACATTAGATTAGATTTTAATAAACATAATTATTGCTTACATTGAAGAGCCCACTGTTTATTATCTCTAATCCCAGAGAAAATCCTTATCAAAGATCTCATGCAATCGTGCGGTAAATCAATTTCCATCAATACATCACTCATTCTTGCGCTCAATCTCTGTATAATTGGTTCATATGTTTTGCTCACATTCTGCTGCAAACTCTTGAGTCGATTAAACTTATCAATCGTTTCATTCATGTGATCCACTCTTTGGTAAATGTCTGAACGGTTTGCTTCTGAATAATCCTCAGGAGTCAA